GAGAGAGAGAGAGACGCCATGCCGGGCCGTTACCTGTAGCCCTAAACACCCAGCCTGCCGATGCTGGAGCGCAAAAGAAGAGCTTGAATTTAGGGTATCCGAATTAAGGAATGTGTGTTTGTGTGTGTAAGGTAAGCCGAAAACAGGTTGGAAAAAGTTATGAATCGTAGTCGTAGAAGGCAAGTGTGCCTCAATCGTGGTCCGCGCCAACAGAGAGCGAAGTCCGCGAGAGTGGTACCGGGTGGTGGAGTATGGGAGGCATAGGGTATCCCTGGTTGTAGTTGCCCATCGTCGGAACGTAGCGGTACTCTTGACCGTTGGTCAGCCGACCAGGATGGTCAGACACCGATGGGAGTGAACCTTCCGCGTTCGAACCTTGGCTGCCGATGGATGGTTGCTTGGAGCCTATGCTGGGGTTGTGGCCGTACGATGGCTCGGAGTCGGATGGGCACAAGTCTTGGCTGGAAGGCGTGTAGATCTCGCTACTCTGCTGGCTCATAGAAGCCGATGGCTGTGATCCGTAAGCCATTTGCGAGGAAGAGAGGGACTCTGGGCTCGTACTGGAGTTCGTGATGTACGAGTTTGAAGACAAGGAGGCGTTTTCGCTCGTCGCGTTGATATTATGCTTGATGTTCCGGATGTAGTTACAGTTGGTATCGAAAGACTGGGATTGAAGACTTGGAGCTGAAGGAAGACCATCGGAATATCGATACGGTCCTCCTATGTGTGCTTGTCGACCTGGATTCCCCGTCGGGAATGGCAACAAGCGCTCCCCGTTTGCGCCGACAGGTGGAGGGAGTGATGCGCTCATTCCGTCCAGCGACATATTCCTGTGACCCGAGTTGGGACGGGAAGGGAAGCTGACCCCGTGGTGGAGAGGCATTGGAATCTGGTCATGGCTGAAGGTTGTATCTGATTGTTCAATGTAGAGCGGGGTCTTGGGCAACTGTGGAGTTGCAGGCCAGCCTCTCGTGGATGTAGAAGTGATATAGTTGGGAGCAACTCCGAGGTCTTCATTCCCAATCAGTTGCCCCTGGATGTTGTAGCCCAGCTCATCCCCGTTGAAGTCGCCAAAAGGTGCTATTGGGAAGTACGGCTTGACCGCGAATTGTTGATAGTTAGGTGCAGAAACTTGTCGGTATTGATGGTATCCATCAAGAGGAAGAGGGGTGTTTTGAGGTCCGTACTGAGGACCTGAAGGCATGCGGCAATTCACTCGGGAAGCTGAACCACCCGAAGCATCGTTGTATTTGTACGCCGTGCATCCTTCAGTTTTTAATAAAACTTCCTCGGCCGTGACCTACATCAAAATGTCAGCTTGTTGAAGTGTGTTTCTGCAGAGGAGTCGGAAGAAGATGGTTACCCTCAAGAATTGGCAATGTTCATTGCCCGAGTTCTTGCAGTTGGTACATGGCTCGCCATTGCCTGCGTCGCCACTGCAACGGATCTTTCGCTTTCGGCATCGACCACACTTTGAATTGTATCAGTATTCTGCTGGGATGGTGTTCGTGAGGACTCACGGCAATCTGGATTCTGCTTCTGGGCCGGGAGCTTGAATCGCTCTCGGGGGATCGCCCAGTGGTTCGAGGCTCGTGGGGAGAAGGGTGATGACTTCGCGAGCCCGGGTAGACTCTTTGACTTGGGGCCGAACTGTAATCTCGATCGTGGCTGATAGGATACTCAAGCCCACGGTTACTGTATCGGCGAAAGGTAGCCTCCTCTTCATTCCCTTGATAGCTTCCGTACGGAGAAGCTACTCGAACCATCTAAGAGCGAAGTGGGTTAGGATTTTCTAGTGACAGAAAAGCTCGAAGTAGATAGACATCGACATACCTTTGCGACTTCTCTCAGCTGTCGTGGATAGAAAAGGGGTTTGGACCAGTCGTGAGAATCAAGAGTCTGTAATTAACGAGCGTCTTGTTGTGAAGAGAGATCGAGGAATCGGAAGAATCTGGAGAGACGAGGTCAGAGATCATGGGATCTTGTGATATCAGTGAAGTGAAGGAGGGAGGTTGCGCTGTTATAGGACGCTGTGAAACGGAACGACTGCCCCGCCTCCAAAAGTTTGCTTCGTTCGCCAACGAAAGACCTAACTCGTTTCAATCATTTCAAAATGAATGTGATGGATTTTTGTAGGAATTCAACTTTTGTCAAGTCTCGCTACCTCTCGCATATCCAGAGTGAGAGTGAGGATGCATTTGCAAGCCCACAAGCCTCTGATACTAGAACAGTGCAGACGGATGGCTGCATAAAGAGGTGGACCCTCATAGCTACATTGCTACCGATCAGGCCACCAGTGCGATCTTCGCCATGGCCGGCAGATATGGCAAACGAGATCCAGGGTACACCAGCTGAAGTTCTCTATGAGACCCCCCAGGCCCAAGTATCCCCTCTCCCTCTTTCCTGGGGTCGACTGAGACTGATAAAAGATACACCCTATCGAGTGGAGTTCCGACTGTTGGAGATCCTGAGACTGTCTTTGCCATGAAACTTGGATACAGCAGACAAAGAGTAATGGAGTTGTGCCAGGGCAGCGGCCTGCGATCCTCAAGCCTCAAGCCCCAAGCCTCAAGTCTCAAAACAACAATCGGCTACCATTCCAAAACAAAATCCGGTCTAAGCTTATTTTTACGCTTTGGGACTGAAGCCCGCCTGCAAATAGTTGACACTTGACCACACTTGGCCTTCTTCTGAGAGTCTGACAGCACTTACAGCACTTCTCCACTAGCCGGAAAATAAGCCCGAGAAGCTTTGCTTGTTCTGACCAAAGATACAGTATGCGAGCGACATGATGTGACAGAAAACTGACGGGCATCCAGTAGCATGAGGTACATAGCAAACAAACTCGCAGAGGCTCTCTCAACGGTGATCGTACAACGGGCACAGCAAACGTATTCTGTGCCACTCCATCCATAACACACAAATGATCAATGATCAAAAATCATTTTAACCTTGACCGTAAAAAAACCGGATCGCTGGGGATTGCCTCGATAATGTTGCAGCTGTGCAAGCAATCTTCAGTGCATGTAGCGAAGCATCGCTGATGCAAAGCTAGCAGGAATAGATCCTTGCCTCAGCTCTTCCAAGTGTTATTTAAACCAAACCATTACCACCCTCTCGGATGCAAGTTTTGATTTATTGTTGACCGCTTCGCGCACCATGCCAACGGTCACAGGATTCAGTTTCGTGACGCGTACTTGATCAGAAAACCCCGGTCTGAGTGCCTCATGCAATCAGTCGAGCAAACTCTGCCCTATCATATTTCAACAACCAACCAGCCAATTATCGTCCCCATGAAACCAGATCACTTTGTGTTTGCAGGAAACTTTACGAGGCCAAACGAGCCGTACATCCCCCCAAAATTTGTTCTCATTGAATGTCGAACAAGGAGGACAAATGTTGTGCCACCAGCTGGAAATGGCCAGTCATCTGCCTTATGAGAAGGCGATTGTATGGAGGGAAGATTTTTATGATATGCTATTGTTGAAATCAAATAAGGTCCGCCATCTGAGCGGCACAGATTGATTTCTTGCACGTTTGAATCCAATGCAAAGCGTCGTACCGAGAGGAATCGAGACTAATATGATGAGCGCGCTGTTTGTGGACATCTATTATGAGGTCAACCACAGAGATTCTGCAGCGGAGCTGGCGGCAGTTGCATAGGTCCACACCTAACTGCAGAGGCAGTGCGAGTAACCCCCAGTTACGATGTTCCACGGAGATCACAACAGTCTTCTCAACCATTTGCGTCCCAGAAATTGAATGCCGGTAGCTGTTTCAAGGAACTACGGACCCTGCTCAACGAATGATGCCCAATGTCAGTTACAGGATGATCTTCATGGATTTTTCCACCCCGAAACCCAGTATAGGTCGAGCAATTTTTCATGACTCTTGTGTACCTTTAGTGTGACGAGAAATTCCTTCGGATCTTCCCTCAGAGCCCTAGAGCCTGTCATACACCGCTGCAGTCTGGTTCCACGGCAGAACGTTTGCAGTCCTTTCATCTTAGAAAAAGACGATGAGCTGTTGATGTTCGCTATGCCGAGAGGTACCTTTGGTACCGCGAATCCGATTAGATGCCCGAGGTGGCACAGGTACCGCTCTACCTCGAGCTCGCCAACAGGTTAAAGCTTGAGGCATGAGCTTCTAAAGCCCTTCTGGAACAAGCTCCGGCTCAACTCTCATAGTGCCAAACTTCGAGCAGCCAGTGTGAGCGTGAAAGCCTATCAAGGAGCTGTCAAGAAATATGGGAATGAGTGAAAGTGTCCGAAGATTCCGAAGTCGCAGAGAGACTAATGGCTGAGAGAGAGTCTGATCCTAGTCCGCAGGAAGCCCTGAATCTCCGTATCGAGACGAGCTTGATGAGATAAGTATTACGGGCTCTTTTCGGCCCATTCTTGATCTTCGTGTGCGATGCCAAATGCAGTGTCTGATTCGGATGGATCGCATTGAATCGCATTGAATCGAGAGCCGCCTGGAGATGGGAAGTGGTAGATAGGGGATGGGTCCCCGACAGCCTACAGGCCTCCAACTGATCCGCCTTCCCCGTTCCCTGAGCCATATTTCATGCAATTGCTCCAAGTCATATCTGTGATTATGTTGGCACGCACGTGGCAGATCCATGCTCAGCTCAGATTGCTTGCACTTGGCTGCTATCTGACAAAGGGGAGACGTCTCTAGCCTTCTTTAAAGCATGCAGCCTCCCGTACAGCCCGATGAAGTGCTCAAACCATTGGCCGTAAAGCTCCGAAGACCCGGTATTCGATTGGGGGTGTGGGGGAAAACGACGCTGCTGTGTTAAGGAGGCCTGCAGAAATATCAGCATCTGTCTTCGAGATACGGTATGCACAGCGGAGGGAGGGTCGAGAACAATCTACGGATATTACAGATGGCATGGCAGACAGAAAAGCGGTGTCGATGGGAAAGAATGCAGTCGATCGAAGGTTGCAGGCAAAGGAAAGGGAGCGTAGAGAGCCGATTTGCAAATGAAGAAAGTGCTAGGTATGTTATGCAAAGAGTCCATGTCACACCACGAAGTGGCCGCCGTGGCACAATTTCATCATCATCCTGAGAATTTCCCTGGCAGCCAGAGAGCGAGCGAGCGAGCGAGCAGATGGCATACATACAGGCAGGGCTTGAGATCTCGGGAGATTTCCCCAGGGATGATGGTTGCAACGAGGATCGGGGCCTTGCTGAAGCGTAGTGCCCGCCTGATGATCATGACCCCGAGAGATACAGAGATATATATCGATCCCGTGACTTTGACAGACGGTGTGATTGACATAACGTGATGAAAGAACCTTGAGGGTTATGCAAAAGTGCAAGGTAGATAGATAGATGTACTTGAGGAGATGATCTGAAGCTCTTCTTCTGTAGGTTCTGGGCCGTACTCGCCGGGAAGAAAGAGAGGTATGAAAACACTGGGTAGATATGGAAGTCTTGTCTTGATATATGGCAGGACATAACCAGCTTCAGCAGATGAATGCGGGAATTGTGGTCAGAAGTTGAATGACTGTAACAATGGATAGATATTTAAGTGTCGCACAAAGAACGAAAGGAAAAGACGACGAGGACGAGGAAGAGGATGATGACGGGAATAGGAACGGGAATGGAGTAGGAACGGGAATAGGGACAGGAACAGGAACAGGAGCAGGATCTCGAAGACTAACGTAGGGGCGGGATCGACACCCGCTAGCCAAACCTTAAAGTCACGATACTTACCGGTACCTATTGTACTTGATTCTCCAGCCGAGACCCGTGACCTCGACGTCCTTGCAGACAGACAACCACATAACCACAACCACGATCACAGCCACAACAATCAACCTCCTACTCTGCCCAAACTAAAAGTTCAAGCTCTACCCCCCGAGAACATGAGCGTCCTCCTCGAAACTTCCGCTGGCGACATTGTCATCGACCTCCTTACAGACTACTCCCCCAAGCTTTGCGAAAAGTAAGCTCTCCTCCATCGCACCATGCCTCACCCACCCCAATAACTCCCAACAGAACACCTCCGCCCATATCTCCACACCCACATGTTTCAAAAAAACATATGCTAAGGTGTCCTGTAGCTTCCTCAAGCTCTGCAAAGTAAAATACTACAACTTTTCCCCGGTCCACAGTATTCAAAAAGACTTCTCGTTCCAGACCGGCGACCCCCTCGGGCCCTCCTCCTCCGAATCCGACGGCGGCTCCTCAATATGGGGCGTCCTGTCCAAAGAACCCTCCAAACGCACGTTCCCCGCCGCCTTCCACCCAAAGCTCAAGCACGCTGAGCGGGGGACTGTGAGTTTCGCGACAGCGCAGTCACCGCGAGATCCCGAAGAGAGGGTCGCAGGCTCGCAGTTTATAATCACGCTCGGCGACGACCTCGACTACCTGGATGGAAAAGCGGCAGTGTTTGGGAAGGTGGTGGAGGGGTTTGATGCGCTGGAGAAGATCAACGGGGCGTTCTGTGATGACAAGGGGCGCCCGATGGTGGATATCAGGATTAAGCATACGGTTATTCTGGATGATCCGTATGACGATCCTGCCGGGTTGATAGAGCCGCCTGAGAGCCCTCTGCCGTCAAAGTCACAACTTGCAACCGTCAGGATCGGAGAAGATGATAATCTAGATGAGGAGCTGGATCCTGAGGCTGTGGAGAAGCAGAGGCGGGAGAGAGAAGCGAGGGCCCAGGCGCTGACGCTGGAGATGGTCGGCGATCTACCTTTTGCCGAAGTCAAACCGCCAGAAAACGTCTTGTTTGTATGCAAGCTCAATCCTGTCACAACTGGTACGTTTCTTCGTCCCTGTAACCTGGTCCGAAGAATGAATCCACATTTCGAGCGCTTGGGCACAAGCTAATATATAACTACCATGCAGACGAAGACCTCGAACTAATCTTCTCCCGCTTCGGAACCATCCTCTCTTGCGAAGTCATCCGTGACAAGCGCACCAACGACTCCCTCCAATACGCCTTTATCGAGTACAGCGAGCAGACCTCCTGCGAGCAAGCCTACTTCAAGATGCAAGGCGTGCTCATCGATGACCACCGCATCCACGTCGACTTCTCGCAGTCCGTGTCCAAGCTTTCGGACACGTGGAGGACGGCGACGAATTCGAAACGCAGGAACGGAGGGGGTGGATTCGGAGGCGTGAGTGGGCTGGAGAAGAAGAGGCAGTACAAGGTCGGGGGTAAGGAGAGGAGGGATCGGTATGGGATGGTGTATGACGAGGATGAACTGAGGAGACGAGGGGAGAGGCAGGGAATGGAGAGGAGTCGGAGTCGGAGTAGAAGCCCTAGAGTGGAGAGGGAGAGGGAAAGAGGTTTTGATGGGAGAGGTAAAAGGAGGGTTGATGAAAAGCACAGTGGGGTTAGGGACGACAGGGACAGGCGGGGTGGTGCGGATAGAGAATATAGGAGAGACGATAGTTATAGGCGGAGATGAGTCAATTGCCAGCTGCAAAATGTGATGGACCTACCGGATCCATTTCACACAACTTATAAGCGATTTGGAATCGAGCCAAACCAATGCCACGCATATACTCATAAACCAAGGCATTTCTTGGTGTCTGTGCTCGTACATGGCAAACAGGCTAATGTACAAGACAGCAAGCAACCCTAAGCTAGCACAAGCAAAATAGCATTACTTCTTCTCCGCCGTTGACTCCAGTCCAAATACGTATCGTACACCCATCAGTATCGTGCAAGCTCGGAACACTTTCATTCGATCTGCACCAGTCTTCCTGCAGAAATTGCCTTCTTTCTTTTTGAAATCTATTCCCAACAGCTTGGCCGTTTTCTCGTCGCCAACATACGACAGAACGGAATCCTGGCAAAGAACTGTCGGTCGCCAGCCGATAGAAGCGGCTGCTCGCTCTGCCTTAGCATCGAGGACCTCGATGGTTCTGGTTTCAGAAGCCTGCTTGTTCATAATTGGAGATCTGGCTGGATCTAGAAGTTCCCTGGGGCTAGCGGTCGCCTCAGTCTGTGATGTATCTTGAGATTCAGTACAGCGTAAAGAGTCATTGGTGTTAGGTCCCGCCTGGCTCTGAGTTAGAGCCCGAGATCCTGTTGTACCTGGAAAGGCCTTTGCTCTAGAGCCTGCAGATACTTTTCCAGATTTGGCTGGCAGGATCGCTTTAGAAACATAGCTCGAGGCTATTGCCGTATTCTTGGGTTTCTCTAAAAGACTTTGAGCGATAAACGGATGGAACTCAGGACTTTTTCTAGCTTCCAGCTCTGGTTGCCGTGGCTTGGAGCCTTTAGCCAAATTGGTCTTGGATTTTGAAGCCTGACCTTGTCGAAGATCCATGGAAGGACGCTTCAACTGGCGGGAAGCTGCGAAACCCTGGGTAGAGTGATAATTCTCCTCGTGGCCCACAGGTCGGGTCCTTTCAGATTCAGGATCGGAAGGCAAAGTCTCCAAGGTCTTGGAAAATGAGCCTTGCGAATGTGGAGGCACTGAGCCAACAAAATTAGGATGGCTCTTGAGCTCAATTCCAAATGAGTCCTCCTTGACGCGTTTCTCAGTAGAAGAATGCTCAGTCGGCGTATTGGGGCTACACGTGGATATTTCATCTTGCCGAAGCCCTTTGGCTATCAACATTTGACCTTCAACTTTGGCAGTAACTCGCCTTTGCTTGAGGTTGGCGGCCGCATTTCTGGTTGGTCTGCGAAAGCTCTTATCAAAAGTTTCCCCAAAGGAACCATCAACAATCTTCGAAGCCTTGTGTGGTGATAAAAGGGAACTGAGCTCTCGATTAGACACAGACACTTGCGACCTCTTCCTCTTGGGGGTCTCTTCACTCGGCTGTCGCTCAGGTTCGTCGATCGTGGGTGAAATCAAATCAACTTCGGATCTTTGCATCCCACTGCTCGCTGTACCTATTTCCAGTGCCATAGGAGACTCAGAGTTGTTTGGTGCATTGACTTTCATGAACTCGGTATCGAGCCGTGCAACTTTTGCTTCAGGAGCATCGTCCGGGACATCAGATGAGCGTCTCTTTCTCATCGGAGTCTTGCCATCCCCACCAATACCATCGTAGCCATTTCTGTCGGTACTTTCTCTTGTCCATTTTTTCGGCTCAGAGGGCACAAAATTTCGAATGATGGTGTACAAATAGCCAGAGAACCTAGCAGGTTGGCGCCGCCACTCGTCTACTTTATCGGAAGATCCGTCTTTTGATAATGATGCTGTTCGTGACCCTGATGCAGCAGATCGCTGGGGCCTGGTTGTTTGTCTGCTTGTTTTTAGAATACTGTCTGTTGTTCCTTGGCTACTCTGTGGTGCAGGAGGGCTACCCATGGATACTCTAGAACGGGTTGAGCGGCTTGGCCATTCGGATTCTTCTTCCTGACTGGATTTCAGACCTCTGTATGTTTTCTGCGGAACATTCCTGGATGTCTTCGGGTGATGACCAATTTGGGGATCAGTGCTCATCATATGACCACGCTGAGCAATCAATGAGATAGCTGACACTGCTGAGGCAGGTGGTGGCATACTGCTCATGGAAAGCCCCTCTTGAGTTTCTGGAATGAGAGAATCACCAAACGTACTACTAAAAACAGAGGTCGGGGAGCATTTCTTACCTGTCTGGGCCGCCTCTGCTCCTGCGGCTCTGCTATTTGACCCACCAGTGGTATTACGATGGTGATTCTCGGTTGAGGAGTTCGCAGTACTCGCTGCACTTGGTGCACTGGACCCCCGAAAGGAGGACTCGTTTGGAGCCCTGAACAACTGATTGCCCCAATGAGCCTCTGTGAGATTTCTTTGGGGTTCTAAGATGCTTTGATGCTCCGTGAAGGCCTGCGATCGGCCTAGGGAGATCACAACCTATGACCACATCAGATTCCAAGACCGAGCGAGGTTGGGATTGTGGAGTCGCAACTTACATCCATTACGCCAATGTTCCGACTATTGGCATCAGCCAGCTTTGCATTCTTCGGGAATTTCAACTTCGATAATTCAACGAGGTATTCTCCTACAGGGTCTCGAAAGACGTCAAATTCGCCGTCTCTGCCCCATTTCTCAGCCTCCGTAAGTAGATTCTGATTGATCTCATCCCATCTGGATTCTGCGCTCGAAATGCTCTGAGACGGAGGTATTGGAGATGCTTCTTCTGAGATTGGCTTAGGTATAGCGAAGGTGGTAGCGGCCGGGCTACATCTCTTATACTCAGCTATCAAATCTCCATTATAGCTCTCGAGAGCCGGCACATTCAATTCCACGGGTTTGCCCTGAGCCACGTTTACGCTGGGTTGCAGTGTATCTCCTGTCTCCTCTTGTCCTACAACACCAGCAGTTGGGGATTCTGCGCGTATTGGTAGGACAATCCATGGGACCTCTAGTGTTTTACTGACCCGCCGACCACCAATCGCGATCTTTGGGTAGGCATTCTCTCTGGATCCGCGCAAAGACTGCGCACGAAACAGTTTGGAGTACACAAACTCTCCGTTGACAAACACATTGACGCACACATCTTGGCGGGATCTAGTTGATGGATTGAAGGAGGAGTTGCGGCTGAAGTCAATATGGATCTTGATGGGTTTCGGAATTTGTATGGGCTTTATGATGGAATTGTCAATGATATTTGGCGGCGCAGGACGGATGCTATTTTGTTCCCTCTTGCTTGGAGTTACTGGAGGAATTGTCAGTTGGTCTTTCGAGAGAAAATGTGCCAGATAGGAAGAGGTACCTGTTTCTTCCTCTCTATTGTCACCGGGGCCTTCCAAATCGGACGCAAGATCATCTTCGGTAAATTGAGATGACGAGATGCTAGAGAGGTTGGAATCGAGATCGGTATCTGGGCCTTGTTTTGGTGTCTGCCGGGGCGGTGAATCTTCGCCTGGAGGGAGTCCAGGGTCCTCGAGGCCCCGAATCGACTTTCTATTAGTTGAGGCTCTCGGCCTTTTCTTGCCGTCGACACCGGATGGATCACAGCCATCGCCACCCGAGTTGACAGTACCCTCGCCATAGAAGAGATTTTGACCAGCGTTCACGAGATAGAAGGGGGCAGTGCTGGAACCTAGAAAATCAACGCCTCTACCGCCGTCAAATCGCTCCTCGCGGATTCGCACGACTTTGTACCCATTAGAGATATTTGCTGCCATGGTTGATTTCTGCTTTGGTATCGGGTCCCAGCAATACAAGCCGACTGTCGTGGACCGAGGCCCGTATGTCGGCATTTTATTGAGGCGTTGAGAAGGCGAGTCGGCTCATAAAAGCGACGGCAAAGGGCGGGGCGAGACCGAGTGACAGATTGACAGATAGGAGTTCGAAGTGTAAGATTCAGTGATCAAGGATCAAGGAAAGATTGGGTGAAGGAGAAGAGGAGCTGGAGCGCGATGTGTGTGTGTGAGAGAGAGTATGAGAGTATGAGAGTATGAGAGAGAGAGAGAGAGAGAGAGAGAGAGAGAGAGAGAGAGAGGGGTCCGGGCTGTTGGGTAAACAAATGTATAGGTGACTCTGATGGTTAAATATAAAGGTTAGATGGCTCTGGGAACTTTCTCGCATATAGAAGTTGGATACGACGATGAATGAATAATTAGAAGGGGCGCTCGCCGAGAATATATACTTTTGAGTGGTCGGTCGGTGTTGGCCGACCTTTGACTTTTGTTTTGCTCCCAAGCCCACGGCGATTACCTGCCTACCTTACTTCTTCGTATATCGACAGCACGGCTCTCCGCACAAGCATACCTTGTCGAGCCCTTCCCAGTACTCATGTGAGTAATCAACCGTAACCTCAGATCCGGCCTCGACTCCTCGCGAGACCAAAATAATGCGCTCGGTCCCCAACCAGGAGAATTTCTGAAACTGGCTGTTGGGTGCACATGAGTGGTTAATGAAGCGGGTGTAGTTACCTTGGCATATCATTAGCAAGCAGCGTTTTACGATTTGGGAAGAGCCAAAGAGCCAAGAAAAGAAAAAAAGGCACATACCCATTCTCCCTTGGAAGATTTGGTATTTCCGTTCGTCGCTGCCGCTTTGCATCACGTCTATACCGTCCATCCCTTTCGTGATCAGGCCTGTGAACTCTCCAATCGCAGAGCCGCGAGGGAGGTCCTGAGCAAAGTCAGCGCTCTCCCTTCCAATGAAGCGATGAGAGAGAACCAAGGGGCAAAAAAAAGGTACTTACGCAGCGCGCTATGAGTCCATTGTTCTTCCCCAACGGCGTCCGGAATACCTGCACGGGCACCTGCGCTTTAGAAGAGCCATACAGCTCCGGGAAGCACCGGCACTCATTACTCGAGACGTTGCCGGACTGGAAATAGCCACACTCGTTGCAGAACATTGTTCGTATGCTAGACACACGGCGCGGGTCTTCACTGCCCCACGCCGCTGGGTCGAGAACCGAGTCTTCGATGTGCGTGAACTCGAAGTCGGGGTACCACTGGGTGTATGTGGACTTGAGAGTGACGGGCTCCTTGCCGTCGCATACCACCCAGTCGTGCGGATGCCCGGTGTAGAGTGCTTGCGACTCTTGCCCGATGACGCTCAGCAGGTCTCGCCAATCGGGGTGGAGGGTATCGGCTGCGACTTCGAGACTAGGCCGCAGCTTCTCGAGCCTTGTCGTGAGGTTCTTGCCGAAGCCGCCGCGGTATTTGCAGAATCTGTAAATACCGGATCCAGCGAAGATGAGACTTGCCCAGCCTCCTGCGTCTTTGATCTCTCTGTAGCCTCGCCATATTGAGCTAATTCTGGTCAGTCCGAGAACGTAAAAGAGAGATGGGCACCACTTACAGCTTATTTCTGAGCTCTTTCTCAGACCATCGAAGGATGGAACATGCCTCCCTCAGTGCAGTCATTCGTGTTTCCGTGGAAGACAGAAATGGTTTCTCTGCCCCAATAGTCTTAACTCGAGCTTCGTAGCAATCAACCCAATGGGCTTGGATGACTGTCTCTAGAGCTCGAGAACATCGACTCATTTTAGTGACGTCCAAGCAAAGCGAATTGATTGCTCGGAAATCCTGCTAGAGCATTAGCAAGCATGAGCATGACAGCAAATTAGTACCGACTTCAATATTTCCATTGCCTCCTAAAGAATTGTGCGCGAATTCGCTCTCCTTTACGTATCGTCAGCTCTGTCGACTGGTGATCGTGCTTCGGAACTCACCAGAGCAAGTCGGGTGATTTCAACGCTGCTGAACACCTGCTTCCACAATCCCGCGATAAATCGCTCAACAGAAGACGGCAAAAGCTGATGGTGATCATCCTCGCTTTTCTTCTTGCGCTGAGGAAAGTCGCGGTTATTGGTCTGTAGTTGTCTAGCGGTCGAGGGTGCCGGCGTGGAGGAACCACTTGGGGGTTGAGGCTTCACAATCTCCGGCTGAGTGACTCTAAAGGTACCTGTCGTCTTCGTCCTTCTCCTCTTGTTGAGCCGGACTCCTGGGTTGATGGGACGGCTCTCGAAACCGCCGGAGTTTGACGTCTGGGGAGCGGAGACCTGGTCTTCGACTAGGTCGAGACGGTCATCCAGAACGCCCTCCACATCTTCGAGAGAAGCACTCGTTACATGGCCCAGTAAATAATTTCTCACTTCAATTCCAGGGAAGTCAACATAGCCCTATTTGCAGACATTAGCGCTGGTGTGGAAAATTAGGGGCTTAAATCCGCTCACGGTATGCGTAAGAGGAGGATCTGAAAATTCCTCGCGATCACCAGAACATATCTCAGCATTTATCTTCAAGCGAATTACTGACTGCGACGCCGAATTGGTAAGTGAAGATCCAAGGTCTTTGGCAAAATCAGAGCCCAGGATGGTCAGTAGTTGCTGAAGTACCCCGGCACCCGTGTCGGCAAGTGGCTCCTCCATAAATGCCCTTACGGTCATGTTGTGAGACTGGATATAAATGAGAAGATAAAGCTGAGCATGAAGGACAGCTGAGTCCAAGTGAGAGTGGCCGCAAGGTAGGAAGGTCCCGTGACAAGGAAAGACGTCGCTTGCTTAAAGGTCATTTCTTGGCGAAAACGTCATTACCTGGCTCCTGAGATTCGTATACTGTTTGAGGCTATGGTCGAGTTTGAAGTATCTGAAATTCGTCGATTACATTTCCGTGGACTCTTGCTGTTATGCGCGAATATTTTCACATGAGACATATGGAGAAGTTCGATGAACGGCGGCGCTCCTTTTCTTGCTAGCTTCCAGGAGAAACAACCCCTTTTTCGCATTTTTGTTTAGCGAGAGCGGGTCATAGCAAGTGCTTTCAATTTGCAACTAGAATACATATGCTAGAGTCCCGCGCCATCCTTGCTAACAGCATAGCAAATCGTACTCTATTTCAAATAATGCTGGACGTATGTCGAGGGCGCTTTATGGGTTGCAACAGGATGCGCCGAAAGCGCGAGGAGCTAGGTGTCGATACCTCAACGCAGATTCGCCCTTAAAGCTGTGACATTTCAGAAGGTCTATCGAGACCCTCCGAGTTCTCAGTCACTCTTTACTTCTCAACATTCCTCTTATGATCTCTTCAGGCGCGATATCTCGCTTATGCTCTAGCTGTCACAACATACCGCAATCGCCCCCCCATAATTCTGAGCTCCATGCAGTGAGCTGCTGTTGATTTGGGAAGCAAGAAGTCCACTGCAGCCAGCTTAGCTTCAGTGGAAATGAGAGACCGGCACAGGGAAGACTTGGAACACTCCCAGCTGCTCAGCTATCAGCAACTGCTTTCAAACTGCGCAGAGACGGGTACACGTGCGTAGTCTCCAGAGATGTGGCATTTTAATCATTAGGATGAAGTACAATGAGAACTCTATAGCATGAGGAGCTATACATTTTAGTAACCCATCCACTAGGCCTCATAAAAACCAATGGGGTTGATGAAGGGGGGTGTCTGAGTACATGTTGGCAGTTAACGGCAGAAAAGTTCCGAAGTTCTTCCGAAGCTCGTCTTCAGAGAGGAAAGGGCAACATAAAAGATTTCACTCCGGGCAGGCAAAACTTTCAGGTTTACTATCGGGGCATCTGCAGCCGAAGAACCCTGAAGACCATAGGTCTCGTCGTGTTTGTTGCCAACATTGTCAAGGTTAGGTATCTATGGAGCACTGCATCACGCTAGGAGAAGCGATATCGGAGTTTATTTTGAGGTCCGAATTTCTGGAGCTCTGACTATGTCGAATCTCTCGTCACAGCAATCGAAATTGAGGAGGGCGAGCTCTGAATCGTCCAGCCGGCGCATACATCCAACTATTCTCCATCTACACCTCCTCCATAAATCCCGACTGGCAGCTACAAGGAATGTCAGCCTCTCTCCCGGGCGGGCGAGAGCTCCCCGCGTCACAATATGACCTGGGCACCTACTGGGGACGAGTGCGCCATTCGGCCGATATTTCAGATCCGAGGTGAGCCGAAGGGAAAATATGCTTCCTGCGAAGATGTTGCACGCTGAGAGCAGCTTCTATGTGCAAGTACGCTGACCTCTTGCAGGACACTGCTGGTGAACAAGGCTGGTCTGGAGCACGCGAAGAGCCTGGTCACAGGATACAAGCAGGGCAGTATCAAGGAGATGAACGAGGAGCTGTGGAAGGCCAAGAAGATCGTGGACTCGACTTTACATCCGGGTAGGTGCTGCGGGAATACGAGTGGTGGCAGGTGTTGACGAATTGTAGACACGGGCGAGCCAGTGTTTCTCCCTTTCCGGATGTCATGCTTCGTCTTGTCAAATCTGGTAGTTACGGCGGGTATGCTCACGCCTGGGCTCGGGGTAATTCATATTGCGAAGACGAGACTTCCATCAGTGCTAATTTGTCGCAGATGACTGGAACCCTCCTCTGGCAGATAACGAACCAATCTCTCAACGTCGCGGTTAACAACGCAAATGCGAACAAGTCCACCCCTCTATCTACCTCCAAGATCGCACAATCATACTTCCTCGCTGTTGGAGCCTCTTGCTCGGTTGCACTTGGACTCAACGCTCTCGTTCCACGACTAAAGCGAGTCACGCCAGCTACAAAAATGGTCCTCTCAAGGCTGGTACCGTTTGCTGCTGTTGCAAGCGCCGGAGCGTTGAACGTGTTTCTGATGCGCGGGGAGGAAATCAGACAAGGAATCGACGTTTATCCAGTCCTCTCGGACGCAGACAAGGCTAAACTAGCTGAGGCGGGCAAGTCTGAATCGGCCGTAGCCTCACTGGGCAAGAGCAAGAAAGCTGCTACGCTGGCTGTAGGCGAGACTGCTATCAGCAGAGTCTTGAATAGCTCTCCAATTATGGCTATCCCTCCTCTAGTTCTGATCAGACTTCAGAGGCAAGAGTGGCTTAGGAAGAGCCCGAGACTTACGATGCCTGTCAATGTCGGTCTGATCTTTGCCACAAGCCTGTTTGCGTTACCACTGGCCCTTGCGGCTTTCCCCCAAAGACAGGCTGTTGATGCTTCGAGCCTAGAGGAGGAGTTCTGGGGAAAGGGTGGAGAAAATGGAAAGGTTGTCTTCAACAGAGGCATCTGAGATACTCTCAGGATACTCTGGGAATAGCATACAGCCCGAGGTCTCTCAAGGATATTCGCTCACGGCTTCTACAAAAACCACGAGACGGCTCGAGCCGAGCGTTTGCACTCTGTGCCATTTTAGAGAGCACAGCAGAAGTCTAGATGCATTGGTTTTGCGGATAGAACAAACAAAGACCTTTAAATAGAGGCTGCAAGAGCCAAGACGAGATGTCTCCTAGCATATCAAAATCGACTCTAGATCATTCATTATCTGCAGTTTTGCTGATTGAAAACCTGTGTGTTTGTGCCCCAAGGTATATCGCCAAGCGATCATACAGGTCAGGTTATTTTCATGAACTTCCGTCTACTACCGGTACTGTAGGCTTTGCGAACGCTCACGTGTTCCGGGCCAGCCAAACTCCATCTTATTTTTCAGCCCGTGACCCTCCTTCCCTTGGCGAGATGGTTAAATCACGTGTGACACTGGGGCTGGCCCCCGGTTCCTCCGCAACCGGCAGCATTCTCGGGCCATATGTAGGCGACGGATACCGGTGGGACTCTACGGGTGCACGTCCGCACCGTTATCGAGGTATCAAGCTTTGCCGCGAGAAACACCTGGTCTGCCTGGAGCGTCAAGACGTTTCTGCATCGTTCAGAGAAATTGGAAGGATTGCCCGTGAGAAAGAGGACCAAAGTTTTGCACAGTGTGACAGTGTCGGACCTCGGTGGTGAGATTTGCCGCCCTGGAAAAGCCTTCACCTTGGGAGGTGGGGGCAAGTCCCTTATGAGAGCCAGTCCCGGATGACACGAAACGCGTCTAAATTCAGAGTTCAAGCCCAGCAAGCCCGCGGAGTGGAGATGAATCACCCACCCACCCACCTACCCACCTACCCACCTACCCACCTACCCAACCTACCCACCATGATCTGATTTAAGGACGGCATTGAACATACCATCGAGCAGAGGTGACGAAAATAGGGGTCATATACCACCAACGAAAAGAAAAAAGACCGCTGCAAGGCGGGAGGACCGAGCAAAGTATCTTGGCTTTGTCCAGCCGAGCTTACGGCCAGATCACATCACACGTTGGATACTCCCGATTCCGGATATACGAAGTACACACATACTCTGTACGTATCAGACACAGACACAAGGGTAGCGTGCCCAGATATGTGCGGTGCGTGTGGGCTGCAGCACGTTGCCACGGGGGGTTAGCAGGCCCGACATCGATTGGTCTGGATTGAGAATGGATGGGAATGGGGAATGGGGAAATGCAGCGTAATCATGACACTATGGACGCCTAAGGTTGTGAGGTTGTAGGGTTGCGAAAGTTGCCGTTGGTTGCCCAGAGTGATCAACAATATTTGCCTATGGATCCGGATATCATATACCGTGGAGGCGATTGAGCGCCAGAAGGCGATTTCGAAGAACGAACGAACGAACAAACAAACAAACAAATGAACGGGTAGTGAATTGCTTAGAAAGGAATGGTATATATAGTCAAGGGATAAATGATAGCTATCTTCTACCGACGGAGGTAGGGGGAGGCGGACGGATACTAACAATAAGTAATAATGAGGCGTGAAGTCAATCATTCAATCAATCAATCAATCATTCACTCACTCACTCACCTATTCGGGAGGCGAATCTTGAGAGCGGAGCAAGACACCCGCGCCCGCACTGGCCGCTCGCTCGCTTGGGAGGGAAGAAGCCCAACTACAGAGGTACTTCTAACTAAAACCTGACCTCACGTCTCTTGCCGTGACAACCTCTCGAAAGAAGTTACAACAAGCACTGGGAATGATCCCGCCCGACGCTGTACGCGACTTCCTCTCGACGCTCAAATTCTGTTCGACTGTATCTCGGGATACTTACCCACCAGCCCAGGCAGACAGGCAGACAGACAGACAGACAGGAGTAGGAATAGGAATACCTATCTAATCGATCGGGTAGCCCGAGTCAAGCCGTCCAGCACTTCCACTTCCACTTCCACTTCCGCTTCCACTTCCACTTCAACTTCTTCCATTTCCGCTTACACGCCGGCTTCTCCTTCACCTGGGCCTTACTTGCCCGTCCCCCGCGCCCGTTGACAGCCTCGATCCCTGACTCCAAGACCTCGACCACGACCACAACCATAACCCCGGCTTCGAAATCAAAACAACTCACTCGATATCGCACTCCCTCGATATCAGATCCATCCGAGTCGGCGTTCAGAGTCTGCGGACTCAATGCTGCACGGTACACGATAAGACGCCAGTACAGCCAGCGAGCTTCAAGACGCAGCAGGCATTTCCCGCTCGCCAGCCAGGCAGTTGGTTTCGAGGACTCCTTCGGGGTGCGTCAGTTCGTCAGTAAGTAGGGAGCAAAACACTCTCCGCAACACAACGCGACGCCGTGCAATGTCGACGCCTTCGACCTTGCCTCCCCACCACCACAACTACGGATACCCCCATCATCAAAACTATCAATCCAACACCAACACTTATCGAGCGAATAATACTCTCTTGAACGGCGGCAGCCGGTTGGGGGCATCATACGCCTTTCCGACTCCCTCGAGTAACGGCACATCAGTAAACAACGTCGGTGTCCTCGACCCCTCCTTTCCCAGTCAGAACACGGCACAGTCTCCCCAAAGAGTCGAGAAAAAGCCCGCAGTCATGCCTACCTCTGGCTCTGCTGCCTCCAAACAGAACCTCAAAAAGAGACAGCGGTCGCGCGAGCCGAGAGGTCCAGATTGGAAAAAGTTCTACGAAAATGGCCTTCCATCCGAGGTGATCGTCATCGACGACACTCCCAGCCCCGAACCTTCCGGGCCCATACTGGCAAGTACCCAAGCAGCTCGCTCGGTGGCCGCGGCAAGTAATAGACACACGAACAAGAAGAGGAAGGTTGATGATGTCGCTCCCTACGATCCTGTATACCATCTCGAGCCCCCATACCCGAACAATGCCAGTCCCGATTACAAGATTTCATCGACGGGATCTGCTTCCACCGATCGGACAACCTCTGCCATACACACCACTGCTGCTACCTCCCTAGGCTCTCACTCATCCAATGGACAGAACGGCTACGAAGTGGCTGCGCAGACCGGTACAAAGAGGAAGAGGCAGGCAACACGGCTTCAGACCAGCAACGAGGCCAAGAGAAAAGAATTAGAGGTCAACGGCGATGCCTTCATGAACTACAAACCCCCACCTAAGCCACCAATCAAGGCTCCGGATGTCATCGTGAAGCAAGTTGCCGATGTAAGTATCCCACGTTCAATGACCAGAGCCCCGACTGACCAAACCCAGAATTCGTATACCAAGAACACCAAGGTTGACGACGATGACGGCCACTATATCGTGGTTCCCGATACCGACTTGACTGATCGATGTATGTCCCACGAACCTGTACCTCTTACCCATGATGCTGATCAATCTACAGACCAAGTTCATAAACTTCTCGGCCAAGGAACATTCGGCAAGGTCGTCCAGGCTACAGACCGTGTAAGCAAGAAACCAGTGGCCATCAAGATCATCCGCTCGGTCCAAAAGTACCGGGATGCTTCGAGAATAGAACTCCGAGTCCTGGCAACTCTCAAGGCGAACGATAAGGAGAACCGAAACCGATGCATACATCTCAGGGATTGCTTTGACTATCGTGGCCATATCTGCATTGTCATGGACTTACTCGGCCAGAGTGTGTTTGACTTCTTGAAAGGAAACTCCTTTGTTCCGTTCCCAAACAGCCAGATCCAGAGCTTCGCGAGACAGCTCTTTACCAGTGTTGCTTGTAAGTTCTTTGCCTGGTCGTTTTGCGGTCATTCAATTTAGACTACAAGCTAACGTATCTAGTCTTGCATGATCTCAACCTGATCCATACTGATTTGAAGCCGGAAAACATTCTTCTCTGCGATAGCGCATACCAAGCTTTCACCTACAGCCGCAAGATCCCATCCTCCTCAACTACAATCAACCGCCAGGCTATGCAACGGAAGGTCCTTCTCGATACCGAGATTCGCCTGATCGATTTCGGCTCCGCCACCTTCCAAGATGAGTACCATTCATCAGTTGTCTCAACTCGCCACTATCGGGCACCTGAGATCATTCTCGGGCTAGGTTGGTCCTTTCCCTGCGATATCTGGAGTATCGGCTGTATTCTAGTTGAATTCTTCACCGGTGACGCTTTGTTTCAAACGCATGACAATTTGGAACACCTGGCCATGATGGAGAGCGTCTGTGGTCGGAAACTCGACAATCATCTTATCCACTCCGTCCACGCGTTGGCGAAGCGGAGCGGAGGAAACCCTGCTTCGAAGTACGTATCCGCAGACCTGCCGTTTACATCCACTTGCTGACTGTAACGTAGATTCTTCAAGCGCCTGAAGCTTGACTACCCACAAACCGATACCACCAGGGCCTCGAGAAAGTTTGTCAAGGCTATGAAGCATTTGAACGTAAGTCACCTTGTACCTAAAGGCGTCGAAGAGCAGTCCTAACGCCCCGCAGGAAATCATTCCCGATACCAGCAAGTTCTGTAGGAACTTCCTGGATCTGCTTGAGAAGATCTTTGTATACGATCCAGCAGAACGAATCACGGCCAAGCAAGCTCTTCAACACCCATGGTTCAAAGAGGGAGCTGCACCAGACGATGGCACCGAAGCCGCCAAGATCCGAGTTAATAGGCTTCAATCTCAAGTTGCCGCGAATGCCGCTATGCAGACAGCTGCACCCCCACGACATCACGCATACCATTGAGAGAGGGCAGATGGGTTGAGGGATTGGGTCAAAATAATGCATGAATGACGGCGTTTGGGAGTCGGGGATGTGGGAGAATGAGGATATCTCCATTTTTACACTTGGAATATCTCAAGTCGTTGGTTCAAGGTGATGATTTGTTCGACTACGGATTGTGTCACAACACTTTGCTCCTGGAGCTTTTAGAGGCTATGCTTTTCGTGAATCGGAGAGGACCAAGAATTCTCTGTGCAATGTAGAAATTTACACAAGCCTGACTTTGCATTTACCCATCGCAAGCAATTGGTGGAGAGAGCGCGTGAGATCCAGGGGGAGTAGCATAGGCTCCTTTGAGGATGTTCGCTTGATTGATATCCATGCTGAGGTAGAAGGCTGAACCTTCTGATTTCGAATAGAAATAAAACAAGAGCCTCTAGGTCAGCCATATCGACAGATTGGGCAGACTTGCTTCACCTCTGTGCTTTTGTTTATGCGCTGGCTGGTTCTGATTAGGTAGTCCTCCCTGGTGTACTTCTCTGCGACAGTTCATCGCAGAAGCTGGGCTGGAGCCTCGCAGAATAAGCAGTACCTCATGATTATAATATATCTGTTTCGTTATATATCAACTCCTCTTCTGTCTGGTAGCAGACCGAATCATTTTGCGATCCTTTATACTATCACATACGGCATGTCACGTCGAACGATGGCACACAAGGCTGAAGATTCGGCTGAAGTCTTAGCGCTGCAAGGCGACGGGAACTTTTTTCAACGAAGGACTACATCATCTACACTTCGCTGAAGGTGCCCCTCCATGATCGTAAGACTTCCACCAGATATAAGAAACTGCCTCGTCTTGCAATCGAGGGGTCTTCGAACATCTGCAACTTCACCTGCTCCCGTCATCATTCTTCCCTCTCTAAGAATCAAACGACCCTGGCTACGCAAGCCACTATTCCTGCACCGAGTTTTCCCAGGACCGAAGCTGATCAAGGGCACGCGCATTGGAGCTGGATACTTTCTTCTTTTTCAGGAGAATAGTATTCCTAGCGTTGAAAATAAGCCCCCGAGCGTACAGCGTAATCTAGCCAGGATGAAGTCCAAGGTTACCTTCCTCTCTACGCCGACAGCAGATACGCCAGGGACGACCTTACTGCTGCACTTTGACGATAAGAGATACATCATCGGGGATGTAGCAGAAGGAACGCAGCGGACGGCGATACAGAGGAAGTTGGGACTGTCCAAGGTCACCGATATCTTTCTCACGGGCTCTGTTGGGTGGGGAAATGCGGGTGGTATTTTGGGCACGATTCTCACTCTGGCGGATATCGCCACTCTGCAATGGGAAGCGAAGAAGCAGGTTGCTGAGAAGACGAAGATTAAGATGGGCTTGGACAAGGCGGAGCACGTTGAGAAGCAGTGTCTGAATATCCATGGAGGGCAGAATTTAACGCACTTGCTTGCGACTGCGAGGCGGTTCGTATTCCGAAAGGGCATGCCGCTATACACGAGTGAATTCAGACCGAAGGTTGACGATCCTACGACGCTGTTCGAACCGACGTGGAAGGATGATCATATCAAGGTGTGGGCTATGGCTATCGAGTCCGAGGGTGCTGCGCCGAAGCGGAGGAAGAGAAGCCATGAGGAATTCTCTAACGAAGGCCTCACTCCTTCTACTTCGGTGGATGGCACGGCAGAGACCCCAGCAGAGATGGAGGAACGCTATGACCAGATGAGGAAAGCAGTCGTGTCTCACATGTTCCAGTCGGAATGGCGCCTAGATGCCCTGGTCAAGACGAAGCTTTCAAAAGTTCAGAGGCCGGCTGCCATCTTTGTGAGAAACCAGTCAGGCAAGATTGAGAAATATCACGGCCCGACGGTCGCTGAGAGCCCCTCTACACCAGATATCGAGGTTCTGGTCAGAAACCCCTGGCCGGGCGCGATGATCGAGAGTCTGCCTCCGACCACACCCTCGAAGAATTCCCTCTGCTACATCATCAAGAACCACCCACAAAGAGGCAAGTTCAACCCGAAGGTTGCCAAAGAGCTGGGTGTTATTCCAGGGCCGGCATTTAAGCAGTTGTCTGATGGAATCGAGGTCACTACGTCCGCTGGAAATGTCGTCACGCCTGACATGGTTTTGGCCAAGGGCTCTGATGGCAGTGGCTTCGGGATCATGGAGCTTCCAGACTCGTCCTACATCGCGCCATTGCTGGCTCGCTCGGAGTGGTCTTCAAGTAATGTGATGCCTGGTATCGGGGCCGTGATCTGGATCTTGGGTCCTGGTGTTGCCGAGGACCCCAGATTACTGAAGTTCATGCAGGAACACCCTGAGATGAAACACATTGTTTCATCAAAGGAATGTTGCTCGAACTACATTGCCTTGGAGTCGCCAGCTTCGGCTGCTGTCAGACTCAACCGCGTGGATCCCGAGCGTTTCCCGGTACCAAAGTTTGACAATGAGCCTGCTTTGGTCCCAGCCGCTGATACCCCTTACATCCAGGCGAGAGTTGGTCAGAGTCTGACTCTGGAGCCCAAAGTAGAGCTTCAGGACAAAGATATCGTTCCTTACCTCGACATGGCTACTGTTTTCCAGGAAGAAATGCCAGAGGTACTCGAGCTGGCTAAGAAGGCTCATGAGGAAATCTCGAGTCTGGAGTTTCTGGCTCATCTCAACGAGACCCAGCAAGATATACCTTGTAAGGACGCAGAAGTGATTACTCTAGGAACTGGTTCGGCGCTCCCTTCGAAGTACCGAAATGTCTCGGCAACTCTACTGCGAGTGCCTGGGTATGGCAGCTACCTATTTGATTGTGGCGAGAATACATTGGGACAAATCCAGCGTGTCTTTGGCGACGAGACTCCCGACGTCCTGCGCGACTTGAAGGTTATTTGGATCAGCCATCTGCACGCCGATCATCATTTGGGTACGGTCACAGTCGCCAAGGAATGGGCTCGCGTCACAGCAGCCAACGAACTCACGAAGGACAACACGCTGATCGTAGCATCCGATGACGGCATGCTCAAATTTCTCGGAGAGTTTGCAGAAGTCGAAGATTTCGGCTACGATAGAGTTCAGCCTATTGCCATGGCACGGCATAACGGTTACTGCCACACCTTCTCAACCGAAGATAATTCAACTTCCGGTCTCTCGTCTATAGAAGCCTGCGCAGTAGAGCATTGTCATGGCGCCCTAGCTGTTGTCTTCAATTTCCCGAACGGATTTAAGGTTGCCTACTCAGGTGACTGCAGACCATCTGATAAATTTGTTGATATTGGCAGAGATGCCACGTTACTTATCCATGAAGCTACATTCGACGATATCCTTCTTAACGACGCCATCGCTAAAAAACACTCGACGACTTCCGAGGCTCTAGACGTTGGGCGAAAAATGAATGCCAGACGCATCCTGTTGACGCATTTCTCGCAACGCTACCAGAAGATTCCTGTGATGGATAAAGAGGGCAAAGATCAGGTTGCAATCGTTGCCTTTGACTACATGCGCTGCAAGATCGAGGACTTTGCTAAGCTGGACGCGTTCAAGGATGCGCTCATCAAACTCTATGAGGAAAAGGAGTAGACTATTGCCGCAAGCTGGCTGTATCTCGAAATCTCGTGTTAGTTATGGGGCATCACGTAGAGCGAGACAAGGCACGATCTCGTCGTTGCATAGAGGGACGCTCGGCGTGTATACATTTTGGGGCTTAGATACCAGAATAGAAGTCGTCTTTCGAGCTAATGCTTCTTTCTTGCTTTGTTTTCGCTTGCTTGTACTTCGGTATGAGACTCTCCGGGACTTCTTCTCGATATCTGCGCCGGATTAACTACTGTATCTGGGTACTTTCCGTTACAGCTCGCTCGCTTATTCCTCATATCTTCACGCCACGGTTTCGTCTATCGGGTAGGTCTGAGTCGTATCTATCGCTGTCCAAATTTTTTTTTTTTTCTGTTTTTTTTTTTTTNTTTTTTT